TGAAAAATCACTCTCCTAGCCGACCCACTTGAATTTTATTCATAAAACTTAGAGTTACAAGAAAGACAGTTTTGTCCCTCATATAAGATGGGACACATAACTTAARCTCAGATACAATAGACYYTTCACTTTCAAGAAGATAAACCAGAATGACCAAAATACCCCTGACTCGAGCATTCTAACAGGGTCCAAGAAAATTGTTTGCAAGGTTCCAAGAAGGTCAACCAAAAAATTACATTCTTTTTCCCTAAGACCTCTTCTGAAGCCAAGGTTCCAGTTGATGCCTGATTGGGATGGCAAAAACCCAAGCTATATATTGTTTCATTCTAAAAATCAGAAAGCACATAGAGATCAGGAAATTGATCTTTTAATGGTGACTCCCCTACCCATAAGTCTTCCCATAAACGGATTCTTTCCCCTCTTCCCACATCATACCATATGGAACTAACGAAAGTAAGGTAAATCTCATGAATAGCTTTCCAAGGAGAGGCTAAAGTTAAGTGAGGAGCCAATTTAGCGTCTCAACCATTACAATGCACACTGTGAATGCTTGTAATTACCTTGTGCCATAATTTGTCTCTTTCAAAAATCTCCACAACCATTTACCCAATAAGGCAGTGTTCCTATGAGAAATGTTTCCTATCACTAGACACCTTTGCCCTTTTGTCTTACTAACCTGTCCCACTTGACCAAGTGACCCTTTCTTATTCCCCTGGTTCCCATAAGAAATCCCTCATGTACTTCTCCTATTGTCTTGCTATCCTTTTTTTTTATCAGTAAAACTATTGTCTTGCTATCCTGATGGGATGGAATGTGAAAAGTGGAAAGGAAGTAAATGGGTAGATTTGGTAGCATTGCCCTAATCAAGGTAATTCTTCCCCTTAAGGAGATATAATTCCTCTTCCAACAGGCTAGTTTCTTTGCAAACCTCTCCACCACCGATTTCCAAAATAGTTTTTGCTATGGTTTTTGAGCCTTTAATGTGCAATTATACTTTTACTAACAATTTCATGAAGTTTTAGCAAATATGTTAGAGAAATTAGCAAGATATCCCCAAAATTTCCCCATCTCTACATGGTGAAATGTCTACTAATATTGAAGTTGCAAGCCATAGGTTTAGCTCACTTTGAACTGAGTCACGGTATTGAAGATATTGTGTCAAAATTCCTCTATACAGCAGATACTTCTCAATGTGGTTTAGCATTTACAGGTCAAATACAAGCATATTGAACACATTGAAATTATCAAAATGTTTGAAGAGTCTGAAAAATGTATTTTCTACCAAATTCTACATTAAAATGGCCAGTTTTTAATACTAAAAAGGCTATAAGAACTGAACCAAATATAACTATATATGGATTTCTATCAAGAAAGAATAAGTAGATTTATGTAACACCTTTGGACATTATTCCATTATCCCTTGCTATAGACACAGGAAACTCATGATCAAAATTTTAAACCACTGTTGTAGTTTATATGAGATATTGTTTCTATCAAGTTTCAAAGCATCAAATAACCTCTTCCAATTACTCTAATCAGGAAATGAGCTTCCCATAGAACTTCTTGAAGCTTTGTTAAAGATGGCACCTACAGCAGAAGAAGAACTGAAGCTTAGGCTCTTCAATGGTGAACTTTCCCAACTTGGGCCTGCAGAAAGGTTCTTAAAAGTCCTGGTTGATATCCCTTTTTCTTTTAAGCGCTTTGATTGTTTGCTTTTCATGGGTTCTCTTCAAGAAGAAGCCTCAGTTATTAAGGAATCCCTTGCAACTTTAGAGGTAAGACCTTCAATGTTTGAATTGAAAATTTTCTTGCATTTCATTTTTCACTAATTACAAGTTTTAAATTGAAATATTGCACTTTGTGAAAATAGTGATGTAACAATAAACTGAATGAAATCCTGTTAAGTATTTGCTGTATGTGACTGAATAAATTTTAGTACATATATCACTAGGCCAATGCTTTGCATACTTCAGAATTTACATATGGCAACCTAAGTTGCAAATGAAGTTCAGATTTCTGTAGAAGATAGTGTTCTAATTCCAGAATAGTGCATATTTTTTTTCATATGTTTTTGACAAGCTCTTGAGCAAATTGCTTGATTGACCATCCTGAAGTAGAAAGCAGAAAAAGTAGATTCTTCTGGTCGATTTAATAGTAACATTGTTGAAAACAATGTCTAAAATGCCATCTTTGTTTGTGGACCAGTAAATGCTTGTTTTATAAAATAATTGCACACATTGTGAGCAAGCAACGGTGCCTTTTATTTGGTAGCTTAATCTAGGGAAGCCCTTTTGAAGAGCCATAACCATCTAATAGCTGTTAATTTGTGTTTGTATATAACACTCTTCTTTTCATAAGAGTTAGCTAAGATGGTCTTGACCTCCTGGATATGAGTATGACTGTCAAGTGATGGGTCCAGTGTTGGAAGGGTTAGAAATCAGATTAGACATGGCCGGATTTTTAAAATTTTTCTAACCCAACTTGGGAACTGATTTCCTGGTAATTTTAAAATTTGAAATTTCAGGATTGATCTTGCACTGAACCTGACCAGATTTGAAACTCAAATTAATTTCTGATTGTACCTAATACGGAGTCCACAAGCGCAGCTCCCAAAGTAGTAGTTGATGCCCAATGTGATTAAAACTGATGTTTTTCTCCAAAAACTCAGTTAGGAACTGAAGGAAATTAGTCCCTACTAGGGCTGAAACGAACTAGGGTTTTATAGGAGAGAGAGAGAGAGCTGGAGATAGTAGTTAATTGCTTGGTTCACCCTTCTCTTCTCTTCCCATATATAGAGCACTCTCCTAGTCCTACTAGGAGCTGAATCCAAATCAGATTTGGATCAGGGTTTATCCTTATTAGATAAACTCTATCTTATTAGAAGAATAGGTGTTCCAAACCCTTAGCCACATGTCACATGACAACTTAAGTTGCCATGTGTCTACTTAACTAATTGTATTAGGCCATGTTTGGGAGTGCTTAAAAATAAGTGCTTATTTGGGTAGAGACCACACCATTAAGCACTTATTGGTGTTCGGGAAATAAGCCCAAAATAAGTGCTTATTTTAAAAATAAGGGTTTATTTTTTAAGCCCAAATTTCCATCTTTTTCTTAAGTCCTTAAACAATAAGCTTGAACGAATCGAAACTCTCCATCAAACATTGTGCCTGCTCCAAGCTCAACTCCAGAGGGACAACGGTTCCCTAGAACCCACTTCCGGCAACATGACCAGACTCGTCATTGGAGCTAAGGTCATTATTGAGAGGGAGGGGGTCGGAGCGTGACTGTTCAACCCACATCGGAGCTAAGGTTAGTGCCTCTGTGTACAATCTCCGGAGCGTGAATGTCAAGCCCGGGGTCCAAGCCCAAAAATCTGGCGGACTAGCGCTATATGAATTTTCCAATTGCCCCACATCAAACTCCATCACACTAGCCTAAATGAACGACAATTCAAGAGTTAAAGGGAAAACGAAGATGTAATAAATTTACATTGTTTTGGCAGAATATTCAAGAGGTTTACAGAGAGAGAGAGAGAGAGAGAGAGAGAGAGAGAGAGAGAGCAGTGCTCCCATCGACCAATTGCCATGTTTAGAGTGATGCTCCCATCAACTGTGTTTTGGCATAGAATCCAAGAGGTTTATAGAGAGAGAGGGAGAGCCCACTACCCATAGGGTATATTTTGAAAAGTTGAAAGAAAAAATAGTCACAAGTGCTTATTGTAGAAAAAGACTACCAAACACCCAATATGAAATAAGTGCTTATTTTTTAAAGTTGGGTGCCAAATGCAAATAACTGCATATTTGAATAAGCACTTATTTTTAACATAAGCACTCCCAAACATGGCCTTAGTAATGGGACTTGGGCCTATTTTCTTCAATGGCTCACTTTCCTATGCGTTGCATGGCTATATAGGCCTGAACATTGTATGGTGTAGGACCTACAAAGGTCTCACATAAGGCCACAAGGGTTCAATCTTACCCTTGAAAGAGGTTAGGCCAAATTGACTGTCTAGGGGTAGTTAATCCCTGACCCAATCAGCTTGGGCTCAATTGGGCCCAACATTTACATATAAATGATCCTTGGGTTCAGCCACCCTATGAAGACCCAAAGACAATGGACTTATGAAAGATGAAGTTGATCAGGTAATCAGCCTTATAATGGTCTCTTACACCTAACCTCTGTTGGAATTGACTCAAAATAAAATCAGTTACAGAAAAGTGGCTATTAGTGCTATTAGTGCATGGTAACCATAAAGTAGTTACAGAAAGTGGCTATTAGTGCATGGTAACCATAAAGTTGTTACAGAAAGTGGCTATTAGTGCATGGTAACCACAAAGTTAGATATAAAAGGAGTGGCTATCTTGTATCTACATCTCCTTCTTCTTCTTCTACAATTTTAATGAAAAATCTCTTACTGGATTGTGTGCTCTTCCCATGGACGTAGGAGGATTTTCTCCGAACCACGTAAATTCTTGTGTCTTCATCTCTATTTGCTTGAATTTTTGTTTACTTTGTCATTTTGTGTATTCTCCATTTTTCTTCACGGGTTGATTTAGGATACGTGATCCAACGCTTCTACACCAACAAATGGTATCAGAGCAAGGTTATTAAATCTATGAAGTACTTATGACGGCGAAGATGTTGACTATAAAGCTCGAGGTGGAGAAATTTGACAGCAAGGTGAATTTTGGGTTGTGGCAAAGGAGGGTGAAGGCAGTTCTGGTACAACAAGGTCTTCACAAAGCTCTCCTTGGAAAGGAGAAGGCAGAGAAGATGACAAGTGATGAGTGGGCTGAGTTAGATCTAAAGGCATTGAGCATGATTCAGTTATACTTGGTAGATGAAGTGATGTACAACGTACTCGATGAGGAAACCACCATTGGCTTGTAGACAAAGTTGGAGAAATTGTATATGACAATCTATCACTAATAAGTTGTACCTGAAGAGGCAATTATATAGTTTGCGTATGGCAGATGGAACCAATTGATTAGATCATTTGAATACATTCAATCGGTTGATTGCACAACTACTCAATGTAGATGTGAAGATTGATGAAGAAGATACGGTGATTCTTCTCCTCTCATCTCTCCCAGAATCGTATGATCATTTGGTGATGACCATCTTGTATGGGAAGGATACATTGGTGATGGATAAGGTTGAAGGGATGAGAGATCCATCCTATGGACGCCCAAAAGATTRHRRAATAAGGGGCGAATTTCAAAAATTTTTCTCTCCCTTCAACTGGGAATCGTATTCCCCATTTAGAAAATCATATTTTCAAGGATCAATTCTGAACCATAAACT